TCTACTTGCTTTGGCAGAAATGAACCGTATTGAGCCAAGTCGCAACGCCCCTTCGATCCTTGGTTCGTCCTCTTCTTTAGACAACACGATCCTGGGCTCATCCGTTACCTTGGATGACTCGACTCCCCTCGGGTAATCTTGCAACACTGTTGGCACCTCAAGTTTGCGCCCCTTCGCTTGCTCGACTCTTACCCTCGGCTTAGTGTCTGTGTCACTTAAACTGGTGCAGACATCTTCCCTAGATCCACCATCTGGTTCATCATTGAGTGGACTTGCTCTGCCACTCGAGGAACACCTTTCCTCATCATCCGACATACCTTCATCTCGAAATCTCTTGCCGCTACCCTCGGCTTTGGGTTTTGCTTTGGAAGTCTTGTTCTTCTTGACTCCAAACTCTTTGATGGACTCCGCAGTTATCAAGGCTTCAGACAGCTCATTGACTTCCCTTCGCTCCAATGCCCTCTTTGCCCATGACTTTAATCCGAACATGAAGGTGAATAATCCCTCTTCTTCAGTCAAACTTGGGACTTTGAGCATGAGTCTTCTGAATCGGTTCACATACTCCTTCAATGTCCCCTTATGCCTGAGGCGCCTCAACTTGGACCACGCATCCATCTTGGCATACTGTGAGCGAACCTGCTCACTTTGCACCCTCGGCTTGACAGCTTTATCATTTGCTATCGCACCGGGTCCTTTCCTGTGCTCGACTGCTTTGACACTCGCAATCTCGGCACATCTCGATCCTGGGCGAACTACTTGACAGCTTGTAGTCGCTCCACGCTTGCCCCTTGACTCGGCTACTTTGGAACATGTAGCCTCATCAAGTCTTGCTCCTGACTTGATTGCTTGAATACCCGTAATCGCATCGAGCTTTACTCTGGGTTCGGCCACCTCATCATCGACAGCCTTACCTCGTTGTGTTCATTGCTTGGCCACATTGATCCCATCAATCGGACCAAGTCTTTCCCTTGACTTGGCAGCTTTACTCGTGCCTCCGCCAACTCTCGCTACTTCTCCTTCTCCCATCATCCTCATGATGGTTGTAAGGCGATGCTTCTTGGGACATCCTCTTATCAAGTGAGGACCATCACAGAAGTAGCATTTCAGCTTTTCCTTGCTCGCCTTCTTCTTTTCCCCGGACTTGGCCTTACCATTCTTTCCCGATGGATTTCCTTGGCCGCGAACAGTCGTTGGCTCAACTTGGCCACTCGAAGAGCTTTCTATACCATCTCCCCGCTGCCCCATTTCCCGGTCTTCCCCATTGTTGCCACTATCCTTGGGCATGGGCCTGGACGACACATTGCTACTTGGCTTGACATCAGCAAGCTCAGTTAGCGTTCCGGCTACAGCTATGGCTCCCGAAAGTCTCTGGGCATCACTTTGCTCTTCCCCGAGCATTACCCCTGGTCTAAGTCCTTCCAAGAAGGTCTTGAGAACTCCCCATTCACTCATTGCTCCCTTGTATATGAGTAGCTCCCTCTTGAGCTCATCCACCTTGCTTCTCAAAGCCGCTACCTCGGCTTCTTGGGCATTCCTCCCTCGAACCATCTCCAACTCATCTAGAACTCGTTGCATCTCGACCTTGAATTTGCCCTCCATGGACTCTAATCGATCAAGGCGGGACTCCACAACACATTGGGTCTACTTGGCCTCATCCTCGGCTTGTTCAAGTCTACCGACCATTTGTTCCCACGAAGTTGAGATATGCTCTAGATTAATGAGCCTCTCTGTGTGGTCAGCAATATATTCCATCCAGTAGGCCCATTTCTCGTACAACGAGAGTTCTTCTTGTTCCTCATGAAGACTCTCCTCGTCTTCATGAGAGAACGTGTCTCGCTCGGACATGCCTTCGGCGTCACCCTTGAGCCTCTCTACCTCGAGAACCGGCTCCCTTTGGTGTACTATAGTTGCCTCGAGCATTCCTTGCGAACTCGTCACGACATCCTCATGCTTGGACACCGATGATGCTCTTGAGCCCCTCGGACTCTCGTCTTGTTTCCCACCATGGCACTCATTGCCTTTGCGTGTGGAAACTCCTCTTTTCTTGTGCCCCATTCAATTATCAAAGTAAATTGATTGAAAGTAAGTAAAATAAACTTACCCGATTCGCACCTTCCACCAAAACACGGTTGAAACGATCGTTGCTTGCCCACAACGACTCGCTCTGATACCACTTGTCATGCCCCCAGAACTTCGACGCCTCAAACCGTAGGAATATCAGAGTCAAAGTCTGACGGGTCGTGCGGCCTTAGACGCTTTAGACGCTCCTTGGTCTTCTCAGTGACTAAGTAAGCCTTACCCAAGCCTAGTGAGTGTGCAAACTCACAAAGGTTGGAACCAAGCCCTCAAGGCTTCGGATTGCGGAAGCTTTAAAACACCAACGTGGCTACTTGGAGCCACAAGGTCGGACTATCGTGTGGAAGTGCTAACACGAAGGTGGCTACTCCTGGCCACCAAGAACTAAGAACTCAGAAAGAATAGAGCAAATGCCTCAGAGCTTTATTACTCTCTCACAAAGAGAAGAATGGAATTGGGTGCTTACAAATGAGGAGGAGAACTCTCTATTTATAGGGGAGCTCCCTCTCAATCGATGGCTAAGATCGTTTTACATGAAGGGCTAGGATTGATTCCCACCTAACCCAATCCCTTAAATCAAGGAAATCTCATCTAACATTATCCTTCTAGAATCCTCCAAGGAACGGGCCAGATCTGATGGTTCTGGGCAAGCCCAATAGTTTGTATAATTCTCTTACAGATATCTGCTCACATGTCTCGGTTCGAATCCACGAGCCTTGACAACACTGCCCCCATCGCCCTCGTCGCTCCTCTCGGACGCCTCGGAATAGATCCTTCACGGACTTGTTAAGCATTCTCCAAGAATTGGCTAAGTCTGGTGGTCATGGTAAGCCCGATTCTCAGTATTGAACCTCTTGGTCGGACGCTTACACCAATATCTCGGACCCAAGTTTCTAGCCCGTGACAATATGATGAAGAGGTAATTGATGTTATCAATGTATTTTTAATAAGAATTGCCCATCCAGCTCAGTTGGTAGAGCGCAAGGCTCTTAACTGGTGGTCGTGGGATCGAGTCCCATTGTAGGCAATTCATAATTGCCGGAAGTCTTCCACGGAAGTTGCTCTCAATCTAGCGTTGGGGGCAGCCTACTACACTACCTCCTCTTATCCCATTACATATGAGAATAGGGTCAGTTAATGTATTTTTAATAAATTATCAATATTAAACAATCAGAGTCTAAGAAAATAAACTATGTTAATCACGGGTACGACTTTGACAACGATTGTCAAATCAATATACTAAAACAATAAAATAAGTTTAAATACTACTTTTAGAATAGTAGCCAAGTTTAGGGGCCATTTATTATATTTAACTAAATATTTAAAGATGCCATGCCCGTAGACAGTATGTGGCGTGCACCGACAGGCCAGTCTTACTAAAGAGACAGCCTATACTTTTATGCCTCGAATTATGATTCAAATTAAAATTAATTTGTATTTAAAAAATTCTATTAATAAAATTCAATTATTTGAATTTACTTAAAATATCAATAATTTGAATTTAATTTATTTTTTTATTAATATAAAGAGATTGTAAGTGATTTAAAAATTCTTAGTTATTTGATATGAATGTTCAAATATTCTATAATTATTGATGCTCAAATATAAAATATTTAGAGATAATAATTATATTTTTAGTTATTGAAGTAGTTCGATTAATTAAAATATTTTTTAAATTTTAATTGATGATTTAGATTATTTTGATCAACTGATGGATCCAGACGCTAATAAGTGGTAATTTAATTTAGAAAATTCGTTAATAATCAAATCATTAAATATATATATATATCTCAAAGTTACTAGAATATGTTCGTTTGAATTCTTTAAATACGATTTATTTATTAATTTTTCATTTCTTAAACATAAATAATTTAAGCAGGATAAATTATTCCAAATGTCACTAAATTTTAGGATTTGTATTAATTTTATCATTAAACGGTAAAACATGTTAGTTTTAACATTAAATTTTGGTTTGGCTTAGGTGTAAGCATCGGATTCTTAAATCATTAACGACGTGATGAAGTGGTCACTCTTTTCTATGAACTTTTTGGGTTGTGTATTGATTCTATCACTAAAATTTAAAACATTTTATTTTAGACATCAAATCTTAGCTTATATACCATTTTGGTCCATATAAATAACCGTAAACTCATTTGGTTGTCATTTTTTTATAATTAACCATTCACGCCAACATTGGTACCAAAATGTTCACATTTCATTCTTCTTTCTTCTTGTCATATTTGTTTTCCATGGAATGCACTAAGAAACGATGAAAAATCATCTAAAGTTTCGATGTTCTAGTACTCTGATCTCATTCAATGATTATTTGATGAGTCTAGTTATGATGTATGTTGTTCATCTTCTTGAAAGAATACTTCTCACAATTTAGATTAAAATGCACACACTCTCTAAACCCCAAAAATTTGAAAAATCTTTCAAATCCCCACAAAATTGTGAATTTGTGTTTAATTTCGCGAATTTTAAAGAGGTTTTTGAAGAAGAGGAATAATCTAAACTAACAAAGTGGTAAAGGATGATAAGATGAGTTCATTGATGTATAAAGTGCCCGTAAAAGATATTAGAATGACAATTTATGATTACAACTAAAAATGGATTAAAAAATCTTAATTGTCATGAAGAAAATGATGTGAAATAAAATGTTAATGAGCTAACGATCCATTACAACGTTCCTATATTAATGTTACATTCCAGTAGTATTTTTTCTAAAAATAATCTCATATTCATGAACCAAACGTATAGTAAATGAATATAATTGATTATGATTTATGCATGCATGCATGTGATTCTTTCACTTCTTCCTTTTTTGGATTTTCAAAACAAGTAAAAAACTTCAATATTTTCATCTGAGAAAACTGGAATCAGGCAAATTAAGTTGAATCCAACACAAGCTTACCTTTGAAATAGAAAATAGAATGAAACAACATCATACTACATTCAACATCTATGAAAAGAACTAACATCTAAAACCTCAACATGTCTCTACGATGAGAATCAAATCACTTATGCATCAACCGGCAAAACACCAGGGATTATTAAAAACATATAACATGACGTAAGACATTTGTTATACTTGTTCTGTGGGAAGAACATGTTTCAGTTTTCATCATTGTGCCGGACACTGGAATCCCGAAGGTGGAGTCTTGCCGCAATCGATGAGGAGCTGAAGAGCGATGGGTAATATAATATTGATGTTCAAAAGCTTGAGCCTGATCGTGGTGCAGAGACATATGGCGGCGTCCAAGTCCAACAGCCCTTGAAGCACGGGGCAGCACGTGGACTTCGCGTTGCTGCCTATGCCGATGTGCACCAGACCACCTAACACGTCCACGCATGCGCCTAGCTTAAGCGTGTCGATGGGGCATGTTTGTTGCGCCGGCGGGGACGGATATGGCACGGGCGGCGGCGGGGGAGGACATGGTGTCTCCACCGGAGGCGGCTTCACCACAGGAGGTGATGGAGGAGGCAGAGTTGGTGGCGTTGGCGGCTTCACGATAGGAGGTGATGGAGGAGGCAGAGTTGGTGGCGTTGGTGTTGGTGGCTTCACGATAGGAGGTGATGGAGGTGGCAGAATCGGCGGTGTTGGTGGATTCACTATCGGGGGCCTGGGGTAGACCGGAGGCTTTGGAGGCACAAATGGTGGTGATATGACCGGCGGTATTGGATAATAAGGTGTTGGGGGTTTAACCACAGGAGGTTTGGGTACGTAAGGTGGAGGCTTTACAACAGGTGGTTTGGGTACGTAAGGTGGAGGCTTTACAACAGGTGGTTTGGGTACGTAAGGTGGAGGCTTTACAACAGGTGGTTTGGGTACATAGGGAGGTTTTATGATCGGAGGCTTAGGAGGATGGGGTGGATGCTTAGGCGGTTTAGGATGATAGGGAGGGTTAACAACCGGAGGCTTCGGCGTTTTGGGAGGATGGGGTGGATGCTTAGGCGGTTTAGGATGGTAGGGCGGGTTAACAACGGGAGGCTTCGGCGTTTTGGGAGGAAGCGGTGGATGCTTAGGTGGTTTAGGATGATATGGAGGGTTAACCACCGGAGGCTTCGGTGGTTTGGGAGGATGCGGTGGATGTTTTGGTGGTTTAGGGTGAAACGGAGGTTTCACAATGGGAGGATGTTTGGGAGGACATTTGGGCGGCGGAGTTGGGTGGTAAGGACATTCAGGGCAGGCAAGAGAAGGAAGCAAACTTGCCAAGTTCAAAAGCAACACAATGAAATTGGCTAAGCTAAGCCTCCCCGTCATCTCTCTCTGCATAGGGAGTGGGTTTTCATTACACTTCCGATGAAACCATGCACATCTTATAACATAAGATGATGCAAATGACGGACAAAAGGGGAGGCAGTGAAATCAATTAGCAAATGTCGTTTTCCTGTTAATTTATTAAAGCATTTGGCATCATTCTTTGACCTTTTCTTTCTTTCCATGTGCATAGTTTGAGTGTCAAGTAGGGATAATAAGCCTGAAATGCAAGTTATTGAGATATGTATTATTTTTTTCCCGAAGTTCGAAGGGGCAGAGTGCATGATTGATGACAATTTTAACTTGTAGTGCTCTGTTTAACCCGTGAGTGGATACTTGGCTTAAAGGGGATGCTCTCCTTGCATGTGAATATTCAACTTTTGCAACATGACCCCACATTTTCATTCTTTTCTTGATTTGACGTTATCTTTTATCCCTGTAAACGGATCGTACTTGCGAGTAATTTGGCTTCGGCTGAAACTATTAATTCTTTTTGAAAGTTACGGTTCAAGTTTTAGCCTGAGTTAGAACTAGATTATTGAGAGTTTTTTTAATGTAAATGAAACTTAATTTTGGTGGTTTTACTCGTGTTTCAAATCAAACTTCAAATCTAAAAGTGATATATGTTACTGAATAAGATATGAAGTGATGGTTTAGAATGTGAAAAATTGGAGAGGCTAATAAATAATGAGCCATCTATTTTCTTTTATATAGACGAAGGTTAAAATTTATTTGAGAGCGTCTTTCTTTAGTCGGAGTGAAGGAGTGAGTTGGAAAGGAGAAAGAGGAGTGTCCCTTTTATCCTATGAGAGCTATGTTATATATTTCATATCCACTTAACTATGTATCTGAGGAGGAGTTGTGCTTAATGTGTTGAGTATGAATCATTGTAAGGTTAGCTTGATCATCCGTTGAGTCCTAAAAAATATTCTTAAATTATACTCCTGTTTAGATTCTAAATTGATCTTCAATCAACCGTATAAAAATATTAATATGAAATAATATAAAATGTCATAAAAATATAAAAATTGAGTTGGGGGACCGCCTTCTATACTAATCTAAAGTCGAAAATGATAGCGAAAGCCAAATCCTGAATAAGATCAATGAGTCATGTGGGTACATACGTACAAATTACACACATCACACAATATTACCATCGCTGTGCCTTAAGTTTCGTACGTATATATAGTGATGATTTCAAACGGAACATGGGTCTAAACAATGCATGGATTGCCCATATCATGATCTCAAGCATCGGCTGAGTCTTATTATTTGCCCTAAAATTTCCCACAATGGAATACCCCACCATGTTGAAAATAAGTGGAGCAGGTTCAATTAATCTGTCAAAACATGGATGGTGATATTTTCTGGTACAATGGAATCAAGGATACAGTCGGTAATCCCACCATATCCCTACGTCAAACCACCTGACTCAATGTAAATTCCGAAGCTGTGTCTTTAATAAGTTGAAGATCTAAGTAAAAGTTGTGTTGTTTCAAAATGTAATTTATCCAATTAAATCCCTAAACTTGTCATCATTTTAATTGAGTATTGAATACAGATATAATTTTCTGTCATCAGAATATAATATCACATAAAACATAAATTATATAGTATAATACATCCTATACTGTAAACTCTTTCAGGCTCATAGAACCACATCTATCAAAAGTGTTGGCTCAGACCCCCTTGGATCACTTGTAGCTGAACTGGCATTTATCGAAACCTGTCAAATTTGCATTACAAAAGTGGTTAAACACCAACATTTTTGTTTGCTTGTTGGAAAAAACATTAAAAAAAAAGGGAACTTACTAGGATCGACGGTAACAAGCATGGCAGTGCCTCCGAAGTCGCAAGTGCCACCATGCCCCTTTGTGTTCTGCCAGTAGCTGTTGAAAGCATACGAAGCATGGGAAATCAATGTGTTGGGTTGGAAACAAGGCTGGTTGGGTTGAATCGATTTGCAATCCGCACCGGACCCGCATGCATAATCCATGGCCGCTTGGATTATTGAATCGGGCACTGCCGGCTTAGCCACACACCAAACACCGCCACCGCTGGACCGTGATCCTTTAGGAGGGGGAGCAAAAGCGGAAGGTGGGTTCAGCATCGGGGGTGCGTAAATGGGTTGGTCCGGTGCAGTCTTAGGAGGGTTTGGATCATGTTTTGGTGGGCTAGGTTGGTGTTGAGGCGGGCTTGGGAACATACTAGGTGGACTGGTTCCGTGTTTAGGAGGAATTGCCGATGAGTTATAACTGTAACTAGGCGGCGGCGGCGGCGGCATCCCATAGCTCATCGGATACGGCGGAGGGTTGGAGGTTAATGGTGGGGTAAGGGGAGTAGAGCGGCCAGGCTGAGGAAGTGGTGAGAGTGAGTCAAAAGGAGGGAGATAGAAGGGTGAGTTGGGGGTATAGGGATCAGCATTGGAAACGACATTGTTGGTTAATTTCAGCTTGTTAATGAACTCGGCAATGGGACTTTGATGGAGATTTAAGCCCTTCTGCTTCCATATATTAATCATAAATCTGGCATCTAATAACATAAACAAAGACAAGAACCTGATTTTTCAAAAAACGAAGCACCTAGAAGAACATATGTACACATATAATCACAAGGAATTTACGTACCACAAGGAGTGAAGAGAATGGAGGCTAAAATGGAAATGAAGAGGACTAAATTGAGCAATTTAAAACAGTGCTGTATTGACTCCATGACTGTTAACTAAAGCTTGGTATAGCACTAACAGAGATGAGCTACTCACTGGGCCTGGTGTATAAATATGGGGAGAATAGAAAGGCAATGGTTGATGTACTAAATGGAGAGAATTTCTTTTTAAGTGGTAAGAACATATGCTTGCTTGGGAATGGAGGAAAATAGGGGAACAATATTATTAGAGGTTTTGTACTTTTTGTTTTGCTTGATTTCTACTCAAAGTGAAAGTGCATTTGTTTGATCCAAGATACCATAAATCATGAAAATATTTCAATGTTTTTGAACAATCACTGCCATTGATACCCTTCTTAATTCTTCAGAATTATACAAAGCTTTTGGGAAGAAATTGATGTTATGGTGATTTAGCATCCAGGAGAATATCAAACACTGCTATTGGCTGATTGTTTAAGGCGCCAGTTTGTAATTGCAGCCACAACTACACTAAAGCCCTTTGGGACTAGAATTTAGGATTGGCTGAATTCAACATTGATTGTGTTTAGGCCGGAGATGAAAATTGCCACACACAAAAAACACCAACACATAAATTTATCAACCTATCAGGATGAAGCATCTCCATCCAAATTCCATTTAGCACTAAAACAACAAAGTAATTGACCATCACCAACATATAAGCAAATTAAACAACTTAACAACACTTTCATAATAACAATGCCACAGGAGTAGTTGCAATAAACTTCTCAATATAACAAAAATACTCAGTACTGTCGTAATACCAAAGTTTGCTAAGACTTGCTACAATTGACAATACGAGAAACAAAAACTAAAGTCTTTTAAAAAGCCAAAAAGCAAGACACAGCACTCGAAAGAGCAATCTCACTTCTTATCTTCTTTCTCAGCCTCAGCAGCCTTCTTCAACCTAGCACCAATATGACGCTCATTCATACGTTCAACACGGAGCTTGTTATATGCCTTGAATGACTTCATTTCCTCAGTGACCTTCACGAGCTCAACAGAAGGCTTCTCAAGTGAAATAGGCATGTATGGTACTTGGACTTGGGTTGCCGTTGCAAGCTCCTCAGCAGTAGAATCACCAGCCTATCGGAATGCGAAACAAAAAAAAATATATTAAAAAAGCAAAAACTAGAATGCAGATTAAATGTTTTAATCTCCGCAAGCAAGGCCGAATAAAATTACCTTAAACTTGCGAGCACGTCTCGGGAAGACGACAAGCTTGGCCTTGTAGGTCTTAAGCCTCTGTACATTGGCCTGAAGACCTTCAAGTGATCTATTCTTACGGCGATAGTCAACAGCAATACCAATGGTTGGCGCAAGTTTCTTTGAAATACCAGCAGCCTGGTCAGAGAATTACGCAAGTTCTCAATATGCGCACATGCAAACTAAATCAAGGTGGGATTTCAACAAGGGATTTAAATAGTAGTTTGCTATCAGAATAGCAGTCATTCTATAACAGTAATGGTATCGTCCAAAGCAGTTATTGCATTATCGCAATACCCGCAATGACCACAATAGCGTCCGTTATGTCCGCAATCACAATAAATGCAACACAACCGAAAACATGGGCCCAATCACAATTTAAATCAATGAATTCAAAATTATACAACACATCTTCTATTTAAAACTATCTATATACTTAACAAAGCACCAATTCAATTCATCATTCCCTCTTTCACCTAATCCTAAACTTGATTGTCACAAGGGAATAAGTCATATATAAACTTGTTCAATTAATCACAAACGGAGCAATAAGATACTAAATCGCTTGAAATAAATCTTAGCAGATAAAATGAAATTTATAAGAAATATAATTCACAAATAAAGAAACACTAAAGTTAAAAGATCGAATCCGTTTTAAGCATAAACCTAAGATCGTACGAAGAAATAGATAAACTAGAACCTCATACCTTGAGCTCTTCAAGGGTGAAACCCTTGCCAGCTCTCAACTTCATGTTGTACTTCAAAGTCTGGCCATGGACAATGGGGCGAAGTGGTCCAGCCGTTGGCCTTGGAAAGATCCTCACCGCCTTCTTTTGTCTCGCTACAAAATCCCAAACCACAATCATTAAACATCAATTGCACTCAAATAAACATCCATCAATCTTTTAACAGAAAAGCAAAAATATGATTAAGAACAAAAAAAAATCACCAATTCTTCTCCTATTCTTTCGTGCTGGTTGATTGAACCAAGTTTTGACATAGTTCTGCCATTGCTTCTTAAAGTGCCCATTTGGCACGACATTGTTATGCTTCACCATGACTTACCTGTTCAACAAAATTGAAAACAGAATAAAAAAAGATTGTAAAAATCTGAAATGGAAAATGGAACAGAATCTATGAGATGAAAGGAGGAGAGCAACTCACCTTCGGCTGGGCGAGATGAAAGTCGCAAAGAAAATAGATGAATCCCTAGGCCCTTTTCTAGGGTTTCCCTTGGCTCATTTATTTATATTCATTAGACGGCCTTCTCAATTCACATCATCGGACGGTTGTGAAAGGACTGGGCTCAAAATGTTTGAGATTTGAGAAAATAAAATTGGATATCAAAACTTAAATGGCCCAATATATTTGGTCTTAAAACTAGTCGAGCCGCTTTCGAATAAAAATAAAAATTAATTAAGTCATTCAAAAAGAAAAATAAGAACTAATTAGTATTAATAAAAATTATAAAAATAATAAAATATTTACAATTTTCAAATATTTATTATATCCTTGTATTTGCAATATAAATTTTAAAAGCACAAAAGTTGATATTTTTCAATGGACAATGTTGGAACAGCCCAAATATATTTGCTTCAAGGGGCCTTGAGTTGAAGATCAAAGAAGAACGGACAGATGGCACGCCAAGGCTGATTTGGAGCGCAAAACATAATATATGGACCGTTAAGATACTTTCAAATACCATAATATAAAGGTTAAAATGTCATTCTCCTATCATGGGCGGATGATCAAGAGAAGCCTTGGTTTTTGTCGACTACTCTTTTAGGTATTAATTAATATTGTAAAAAATATTTTTTTGAAAAATAAAATTAAATTTATCAAGTCTACTTTAATTAAAAAATTATATTTTTTAGGAAATAAAAATATTTTAACCTCCAATATAATAAAATGTTTGTTAGTCTGAGATGATTAAAATATAGTATATGTTCATTATATAAGAGAAAGATAATATATGTGAAGTGTTATCAAACGTTTAATTCGATCATTAATTGAATTGGATTAGTCAAAATTGACTAACTGAAATTTTTTCTTTTAATTGTTAACCGAATTGAATAAAGTTTGATTAATTCGATCGTGCTTGAATTAAGCTAAAAAAATTTATTTAGATTAGTTTGAATTTAATATAGATGTTTTTTTTTCATTTGAGTTAAAATTTGAGTATCTTCAAAGGTTTTATATATATATATATATGGGTGAATACAAGATAATATCTATTTAAAAACTTTCAACCCTTTGACAATAAAGGTTCTTACTTATACATACATGATGCTTGAACCCGATATCTCAAATGACAACAACGAGTCCCTTAAAAGCTAAGGTCACTTGAAAGTTTAATTGGTTTAATATATATGCATGTATAATAAAATTAATATTGTATAAGTTAATTATTAACCAATTTTGAACTGAATTAATCGATAATCGAGCTTTAAAAAAATTTAACAGTTTTATTGATGTAAAATTAAATTAATCAACTAATTAACTAAATTAAGTTTTGATTCGACCGTAAAACCAATCAATTAATACCCCTAATATATTTTTATAACACTCCTTAATTATTGAAAATACATACACCAGTTAAACATCACTACTCAAATCTAAATTCTCTAAATAGAATAATATTTTACTGCTTAAATTACTCAATTTATTTTAGAAAAGAATTCTTCTTTCCTATGATAGAGGGGCTGAAATAAAAGATATACTTGTTGAGATACTTTTCAACCTTGTATTAATCAACGAAATGAAAGCATAAAAAAGTTGCCTTTCCTTTTCTTACATTTGTTCACTCGTTTAAGTCTGTCAATGTAATCTACTAATATCTATTACGGCTTCATTCATGCTTCGGGAATAATAGCTAAGAAAATGGCATTTACATTTGTTGTGTAGAAGTAACAAGGAGTTGAATTAATGATAAACGAAAATTTTAATTTCAACATATAACAATGATGATTCTACAAGATAAATATGTGAACTATGGTGGACCCTAACCGAAGAAGAATGATAAAGTGAAGTCTAAACCTTTCCCTCTATTTTAGTGGCCATCGGCAATCCCTTCATGTTTGGTAGGTAAGAAAATCTTTCAAGAAATTTTACCAAAGGACAGGGTGGTTTGCAAGGCATGTCATCGGTGTCCCTTAAACTTCAAGTGCATGCATGTTTATGGCATATCATCCACTTATATACACCTCACAAACACCCCATTTATCCCATAACACATACTAAAAACACAATGAATCCCAAAAGCCTTTGCTTCACTGTTCTTGTTGCCATTTTTGGTGTTTTTGCATCCAGGGTTGTCATCAATCCAAGCACTCAAGCCCTCAAATATATTGTCGATTTCAGTTTATCCATCTCTTCATCGTCGTCCATCGTTGCAAAGTTCATCCCGTTCAACTTCGATAGCCTTCGTCAGCCTTCGTCGACATCGGAAGCACCCTGATAAGGACAAACCGGTATCCATCTGCAACGACTTCCCTCCCAACTTCCCACCTCAGGAAACCAACACGACACTAACGCTTTGTGTTGATCGAAACGGATGTTGTAATTTCACAACGGTACAAGCTGCCATTGATGCAGCCCCAAACCTTAGCATCAAAGGAACTGTAATATGGATCAATTCGGGCATTTACTAGTGAGCATCTATCCTTATAAATTATATGTGATTTTACTAATGTTATTTTGCGATACATTTGAAAAATATTGATACAATTTGTTTTTTTTTTTCAAGTGAGAAAGTCATTATTCCAAAAACCAAACCAAATATTACATTTCAAGGACAAGGCTATACATCAACCGCAATGGCTTGGAATGACACTGCACTTTCTGCAAATGGAACCTTT